TGCCATCTTCCACGGTCTCCTCTATTTTTATTGTTGTATTGTTGTAAATATAATTGTGTCCTGTCTTGTGAAATTTTCTTATTTATTGTTGTAGTCTTCTTATTTATTATTATTGTCATCCTGTAAAGCGCTTTGAGAAGCCACCTTTAAAAGCACTATATAAAATAAAGTTTATTATTATATTATTATTATTATTATTATTATTATTCCAGGTTATTTCTTCATTCTATGTGCAATTGGGAGGAAATGCCATGTCTTTCATGGGTAAAGGAGTCACTAAGAATGCAGTCCTCTGCTTGCTTCATTTATCTCATGAAATGATGAGGGAAACCAAAAACCAGGCAAGTATATGATGTGTATGTAGTTTACTCTGCCAAAATAAATGTGCTTCTCATTTTCATTTGTGTTCACCATCTGTTTTCACCATCTTAATTAAGAGCAATTTAGTGTTTTTTGCTTCTTAATTGTGAACCGTTTTGTTTTTATCTGAATTGAAAGGAATGGGTGTCACTGTGGTCTCTGGCCGACGATCAAAGCGCTGAAGAGCAGGCAGGCTCACGGCTGGGGCTGGCTTGGCTCATTCCTCTGTGGGTGGATAGGGACCCCGAGGTGAGAACACATTGTTTTTGCCTATAAAAGAAGTAAAACCGGTAGAACAGAAACTGTTTTGTAGAAAAAAAAATTATACTTAATGTTTGTGGTGTTTGGAATGTACAAAAGCAACAAACTATTAGGTTTTCTGATCATGAACCTTAAGTGTCTGGGCTTTAAAGGGGAAGTGCAACTATTTTTATATTTTGGGGTTAGAAAGAATCGTCATTGATGAGTGCATTTCAAACCACAGTGAAAGTAAAATGTACGCAGTAATGTGTAAAACCTCCAATTTACATAATAAAATAGACAAAATTTCCAGGTATGCGCGGCGCCATGTTCTGTGATTGAGAATGAGGCAACAAAATATCCGGTGATATGATGCGGCCCTACTGTAAACGAGCAGGCTTGTAAATACATCTCCTCTCGACTTTGAGACCGTTTTGCCAGCAAATACAACTTACTTTTTATCATCCTTGCATGCAGATCATGTTGGCACAGCTCTGTGGTGAAATGTCTGCTGCACAACTTGTACTTATTTGCTTGTTGGCTCTGTGGCTAAGGATCTGCGCCTGTGGCTGGAAGATTGCCCGTTTCTATCCTGCGTCCGGCAGAGGAATCCTACTCCGTTGGGCCCCTGAGCAAGGCCCTTAACCCCAGCTGCTCCAGGGGCGCCATTTAAATGGCTCACCTTGCGCTCTGACCCCAAGCTTCTCTCTGTCTGTGTCTCTCATGGAGAGCAAGTTGGGGTATGCTAAAAGACGAATTCCTAATACAAGAAATTGTACTGTATATGGCCAATAAAGTGATCTTATCTTATCTTGTATATCACAGTACATTAGTCATTACAGTGACTAGTGAGCAGGAAGGGGTGCTTCACGTTGCAATTCGTGCGAACTCTCACTCTCGCCCATGGCGAGACCGGTGCTTTGTGACACCATGGTGACTATACAGTACTTTCAAGATTTTGCGCTTAATTCAAACCTTGTAAGATTTTGCGATACCGTTGTTGAATTTATTTTGTTACGGAGATTTAATAACCGGACTGAGAAATTGGGTCTGCAGTTCCCCTTTTAAAGGTGACGTTGTAATACGCAGGTAAGATTCGCCAGCCTTGGGATCGGATCGGCTCTGACGACGGTGGACTGCGGGTGCTTCGGCCTTTCAGCCAGCTGCCAGAACATTTCTGGAGGGCTGTGGGGGACGCTGCTGAACATCCTCCTTGACCGAATGGAGTGCAGCATGGTCCGCCGAGAGGTTTGTCTCCGGAACTGAGTGATTGCAACGAGAGGGTGCAGGCTTCCATCACCCATCATTATAGATAATATATATATTGTTCCACAATTCTGTACAAAATGTACTGTCATTTGTTTATATAATTGTTGAATATAGAGTACACAATACATTACAACTCCCAAGTGGATTTCTTCAGAATGAACAGTGAAACATGGGGCGAAGTGGTGACACTGTGGCTAAGGATCTGCGCCTGTGGCTGGAAGATTGCTGGTTCAAATCCCGCAGCTGGCAGAGGAATTATACTACGTTGGGCCCCTAAGCAAGGCACAATGGTACAATGGCTGACCCTGTGCTCTGACACCAAGCTTCTCTCTCCCCGTCTGTGTACCTGTGTGTCTCATGGAGAGCAACCTGGGGTATGCAAAAAGACATAATGCAAGAAGTGGTACAGTATATGGCTTATAAAGTGATCCCATCTTATCTTACCTAGCCTAACCTTATCTAACCAGGGGGGCTACAAGTGGAAACTATGTGGGAGTGTATTTAAATTTGAGAACAGGGGGCACTTCTTTGCATGGAGAATTGTGGGAGTATGGAAAAATGTACTGAGTCATGTTCTTGAAGATCTTGAGATCCTGGCATTTACTAGCTACTAAATGCATAATGGGCTAGATGGGTCGAGTGGCCTCCTCTTATTTCTTACCTCTCATAACCCCTCTCTTTAGTGCAGTGTTAATGTACTGGAGTGTCCAGTCAGTGTGTCTGTATTAACCCCTCTCTCTCAGTGCAGTGTTAATGTACTGGAGTGTCCAGTCAGTCAGTG